CTAATGAGCAAACAAACACATCTTGGATGGCCTGAGTGTCACTAACTTTTCAGCAAATTTTCATTTTTGGGCGAACTATATAACCTGCTTATGAATGCAGTGGCAATAGCAAATCATGTTTGATGGCTGTGACGTAACTAAGATCTTTCAATATGTCCATTCAAATATCCTGTTTCAAAAGGAAATATTTACTGTAAACATTTGAAAAATGCCCTAATCAAGAAGCTCTGACACACCTAAAATTGCTTTTGACAGAACAAAAGGTATGATTGACATGAATAATTGTGTAGAGGGAGATTTTTACATTATTTAGTGGATAAAAAGTCTATATGTACAGAAATGCTTCTGTGGAATGAGGGTGGGTATTATAAACCATTAGACTGATATCTGTGGCTAATGCTGAACAATGTGTGCAGTGCACTTCAGAATGGAGTCTGGGTGATGTACAAGTCTGAAGGAGAAAGTCTGTGTGAAATAATATCTGTATTCCTGTGCAAGTGTGTATGTCGGCGTGTGTGTGGGCGAACGGGCCTGATGCAGTAATGAATTAGGTGGCAATATCGACCCCCCACCTCCTTCATGGACCATGACCTCTTGATTTAGTCTATTGAGGCGACAGGCGGTTCTCAGTAGGCTAAATCACTTTCTGCAACCACATGATGACAAAGATAAAGTTTAAATAATGGTGCCTCTTTTTTTTTTTTGATTGTTGAAAATTGTGAATTGTTAATTGTTACTGTTGGCTCAGAAACAAATGTTTCAAAGGGATAGTTCACTCAAAAATTAAGATTCCGTCATCATTTACGCACCCTCATATCATTACAAACTTGCAAAACTTTCTTCTTCAGAACGCAAAAGAAAATATCAGGGTTTTTTTTCATAAAATAAAAGTCAATGGGGTTCAATGTTGTTTGCAGTGTTGCTACTTATAAAAAAAATGGACATAAAATGTGTTATTTTACCTGTTTAGTCTCAAAACATCTGCTATAAAATAGCACATTACAATGTACAAAACAGTTGGCCAAGCAACAAAACACATTAAATATTAACAAATATCTGACCACTGGATGGTGTGATTAACCAATCAGAATCAAGTATCCCAAACAGCCACATAATAAATACAAATTTTAACTTGATCATACCTACCTAAAAATCTTCCAGCATAATGATCATATTGCAAATCATATACTGTAGTTTATTTCCAGTGCTTCATGCACTTCCATCCTATCCAGTTTTGGGGAGAAGAAAAAAAAGAGTTATCAATAATATGACTGAATGCAATCCACTGGGGGAAAAAAAGTTGTTTAAGACAAAAAGGAAAAGGCATTGGGGTTTTTGGTTTTAATTATTGGCTATGTTTTTACAGCAACAGTGGGCAAGTGTTCAGCTCTGACATATGAACAGAGGAATGTTTATTTGCTGCAGTTTAGGGGCATAGTGGTTACAGGATCACTGACACATTCCTCTGTCCCCAACTCTCCCTTTTTCTCTCTCATGATATCTTAAAACACTATTCAGCTTCTGCGCACACACTGACTGAAGCTTTCTGTTCTCAAATTCAGGTAACAAATGCTAATATGACAGTCAGAGCAATCTTTCCCTCAAGTCCCAGCACTAAAATGGACATCTTAAATGCTATACTATTACAATATTACCCTGTTGAAAAAAAACAGCATATGCTGGTTAGGTATGCTTTGAAGCATGGCAGCTGGTTTGAGCTGGTCCTTAGCTGTTCCTAAACTTGTTGAGCAACTAGCTCCTGCTCAGAACCAGCTCAGGACCAGCTTAAACTAGCCCATGACCAACTAAGAACCAGCTCAAACCAGCTTCCATGCTTCAAAACATACCTAACCAGCATATGTTGTTTTTTTCAACAGGGTAGTGGAAGTAAATATGATTGCATGCACCTCTGCGTCAGTGGGGCCTGGTTTCATCTCTTCAATTCCCGTCAGCGACCCTGTAAAGATGACATTTTTCTTGGCAACAGCTCCCTAAGTGCAGTGACACAGGGGACAGTCAACCACAGGAGCTACACATCCACTCTGCTTGCATTAGAACACCTCCCTCTTTTGCCCCCACCCTTCACCAACACTCCACTCCACAATCCAACTCTATAATCACTTCCAGGAGCAAAGCAGAGGACATTTCAGAATGCCATTAGCCAACTGTCAATTATTGTCCATCATCTCAGAAATCCACCTCATTGAAATGACAACACTGCCACATACAGAGGTGTGGTTTGATCTTGAATGACAGTGGTATTCAGACAGCAAAACTGTTCATGAAGAAATCCACTGCGCACTAAGGAGAACCTGCCCCCACCAATATTCAGATTTGTATTTCAATGATTCTACATTTTCTACATTTGGAATGTCTCCATCTTCAATGCATGGCAACTACTTCAGTGCTTGGCTGCTGCTACTATTAAGTGGTTGATCATTCATTCAACTTATTCTAAACTTTGACAAATGCATCTGGGACAGATACTTGGTTCTCTGTGCTACAACGAAGCCTTTACTGACATCTAGTGGAAATCTTAATAAGCCAAAAATGTATGCACACGAATTGACCTTGCATTGTTTGGACTTACCGAGATGATAATAAATCAACTGCACTGTACCTCAGGAAGTTTTTTTTTTTGAAAATGTAAATCTCTTAAGGGCACCAATTTACATTGTAGACCGTCTGCCTTTGTATGTATCCAGAAATATATCTATCTAACACTATTTTAAGTAATAAAATAATGTTCTATTACTTTAAAATCTTTGGGCCTTTTATTATCTTACCCAGAGACTTCCGGCTGCTGTGCGCACTATATAAATGACGTAAACGCTCTTCCGTTCTTCTCTCGTGCTTCTCTGAAACAAGATGGTGAGTTTATCAACCGTTCAGATAGAGGCCAGTCTTTCATTGTGTGATCATGAGGACGAGGCAGTGCGGGGTTTTTTTCACCGGCTGTACATTTCGGAGTAATTTCTTACTATGTACAGCTAAATACTACTCCGTTTTGTTCATATTAAGTAATTAAAGCAATACTACGCCTGAAGTGTACCGCATGTACGTTTAAGCTCGTAACAAGCATTGATAAGCCTTAACTGCCAATGTTGAGCTTTACCATGCGGTAACATACAGTACTAACGTACTAATCTAATTCTTAACGTTTTAAAAGCTCGAATAAGTGATGGAGATTTTTAGGCTATAGACTATATGCCTATTACTTAATACACCAGATGTACATTATAAAAATGAAGTACGTTAACACCTACAGTGGAGTAACGTTAACAGACACAGACTTGGGTTACCATTATATTTTAACTTAAAAATCATAAATCTAACATCTTTTGTAAGATCATGTGTAAACAAGGTTGTCATTTGTAAACCAGTGCCAACTGTAATTCTTGCTCTTCTAGACTAAGAAGAGGAGGAATAACGGGCGTGCTAAAAAGGGACGTGGACATGTCCAGCCCATCCGATGCACGAACTGTGCCCGGTGTGTCCCCAAGGACAAAGCCATCAAGAAGTTTGTCATCAGAAACATTGTGGAGGCTGCAGCTGTTAGGGACATCTCTGAAGCCAGTGTGTTCGACTGTGAGTAAATGCGCTTGCTTTAGGAAGTCAGGATACTAGGCTTCTTGGGTAGTGGGAACAATCAGGGGTTTGTTGAAGCATTTGAAGCGAACTTGTTTCTTTGTCCTTCTACAGCCTACGTTTTGCCCAAACTGTATGTGAAGCTGCACTACTGTGTCAGCTGTGCCATCCACAGCAAAGTGGTGAGGAACCGCTCTCGTGAGGCCAGGAAGGACCGGACCCCTCCTCCACGCTTCAGGCCCGCTGTAAGTCATACATCCACATCTGCTTTCAATAAGAACATAAGCAGGTGTTGTGCTTGATGGCAGTTAGGAACTATGAAACATGCTAATTTTATACCATTTTGTCAATATATAATACAAAGTTTACTGATGTTGTTTCCTTTCAGGGTGGTCCCCCAAGAGCCCCTCCAAAACCAATGTGATCTGCAGATATTTGTGTACATTTGTATGCAAGGAAATAAAGCAGACTGAAATTAAAAGCGTGTTCTTCTGTATGTTCACTCAAATGAAAAATGTTGCTATTCTTTGTGTACTTGGAAGTTCGGTGTTACTGAGAAAGATTACATAGGGAAAATAAAACGGCTTAATTTTATAGTCGTATGAACTAGACTTTTTTTTCATTTCTACATTTAGAACAAAATTTAATGCATTTACTGAAGTGCATTTTGAAAAGGAAAATATTGTAAAATTTTGGTAACACTATCACTTGTTAGTTAACATTCGTTACCCATGAACTAATGCTACAGTATTTATTAATCTTAATGGTTTAGTAAATGGTTATTTTCATTTACTAAAACAGTTTTAAAATCGAAAGTTGTACATGTTAACATTAGTTAATGCAGTGTGAACAATTAACAACTTTTTATTAAAGATTAATAAAGGCTGTAAAATACATTACTCATTGTTCATGTAAGAAGTGTTACCAATATTTTTTTTACAAAAATTGTCTTTCATATTTTTAATTCAAATTAGGTGGTTGATATACTAGTAGTAAATAATAATGAAACGCTAATAGTATTCTCATTAACAAAAACTAAAACTTAAAAACATTTAACTGAAAAAAAAATATATGAGAAAACGAGCTGAAATTAAAACAGAAATAAAATAAAACCGAAAAGAAAGTTCTATAGTAAAACTAAAGACACAACAAAGACTTAAAAATTTTAATATAAAAAAACATTCAAAATATTAATAATTACTACAATAGTATATTAATAATAGTGAAATATCTGGACTTAAGTTGGCTCAACTGAGAAAATAATCTTTAAGTAATTTACAATACATGCTATAAATTTTTTAAAAATCATGGTTCTGTACTTATTTTAATTGAGAGACTACATGGAATATTTGTTCTTTTCAAAATTAATCTGTCACACAGCACAACTATTTTAAGTGCACTACGTAGGCATGGCTTTCTCTTGTTTAACAGGCTCAGAAATTTGGAAAACCACTCTGGAAACAGTCCAGACTTTGGACGCCAAAGCAGTTCATTGTCTTTCTCTCTTCAAGAGGCAGACTCTATGTAAACGCCACCGAACAGATGAGTATAGACCTAATCTCACACCTCGAATTTCTCTTCTCAACTGATAAAAAATAAACCCCACGGAAGGAAGGCACTTCTAAAGCAAAACAGCTGTGTCTTGCGATGAATGACTTGGTATGGGAGTGCAATCGGTAGAATCCGTTTGAATCCTCTTGACATCCTCTAACACGGGATGCAATTGCACGTTTTATGTTCGTACCTAAGTGATTAGCCTTCGACGGTAAAATATGATGTCCGCTAACTATAAAAGCAAGTGCTAATATGCCCCAACCTGGTGCAGACCGAACTAGACGCCATGACGCCATCTCAAAGCAGCATACAACTCTGTACATCTCCCCCCCAGTCTCGACTTCTGCCATCTACAAGCCCACCTCAGCCAACCTGGTGCTCCCCGCGGACAATGTGCGAGGAGAACTCGTAGCGGTCCTGGCTGCGGTGCCCGCAGATGTTGCACTCAAAGGGCTGGCGGAAGCCGTGGCAGCCCATGTGGATGGTGAACATGACATGGTCCAGGAAGAAAATGCGACAGTGCTCACAGCGGAAGGAGCGCACCGGCCGCCCTTCCCCATCCACCACTTGCATGGCTTCCCTCGCTGGTGGCGAGCGCGGGCTCGCCTTGGTCAGTAAACCCCCAGGAACCCCTTTCTCCCTGTCCCCTTCCATGTCCATATCTTTGGCATGACTAGGACTGTGCCGCTCTCGCCCGCGGTGGTTCAAGTTTCCCGGTGGCACCGAGGTGATGACGTACTGTTCCTCTGCCATGCTCTCAGTGTCTGTCGAATCTTGGTAACCGTTGCTTGGCGAGGCGGCGCGGCTGCGGGTAGAGGGCACATCTTCATGACCCTCGCCGGCCTCCCTCCCGGCCAGGCTCTTGGAGATGCCCCCTGCACAGTTTAGACGCTGCCCTAGAGGAGTTATGTGAGGGTATACGGAGCTGATGACTGGGGTGAACTCTGAGAGGCAGGCGGAGTGGGGAGGCATCCGCAGGGAGTGGGAAGGATCCACATCGTTGCTGCCTCCTCTCGGTGCCCGCAGGAAACGCCCTCCCATGCCTGCTACAGCAGCGGTGTCACCCTCGGGGTGCGAAAGCAACATGTCCCCTTCTTTATCAGCATTGGGGTCAAGTTCATAAGGTGCTTCGGATATATTCAGTCGCATGTGCTTTTCACCTAGAAAATCAAGGAGCATCAGTATCATTGGTCTTCAGTAACCACGAAATTTCACTGAAGTGAATTTTTTTTTTTTTTACAGTTAAGCAATAACCAATAACATTTTTATAACATAGTTTTTCTAAATCAAATGAATTGCAACAAAATTCTAAAACCTAAACTAAAAAAACTAAATAATAATATTTTATAAAATTACAGTTTTTTTCTGATTTGATCAAATAAATGCAGCCTTTACATCTACATGTTGTTATATTGACAACCAGTCAGTAAATAGACTGAATTAAGTTTCACTAACCTTACAAATTGACATGTTTAACACCTGAAAAATGTACAAAGACAGCTCATTTTGAGCACTCAGCTCATTTAGAGTCAGACATAATAACATGCGATTCACTGAAAAAGTCATGCAAACCAAAACAGTAAGAAAGTCCAAATCAGTTATCTGATTCAGTCCATGATTCAGACTGATTTGCTTTGACTGATTTGTTCATAAATTTGCACATTTTGTTGCATGTTCGCTGTTGTGTATAGTCTGTATACAGTTCACTAACTCACAACTTTACCTGGAATAGCAGAGCAGAAACACTGTTCTACTTAGGTATTCAAAGAAATGGTCTTACCCAGAAACTTCTGGGGTGTAGATCTCTTCCTCTTGGTGATGCTATTGGCCAGTCGATCAATGAAGGTCATCTTCTCTGAGGAGGACTGGATCAGGGCTTCAGACATCATCTCCATGTTATGGGACTCTTCACCTGAACATAATGCCAATGTAGATACATGTTTATAATAGAATAGTGAGAGTTTGATTTCAAAATGGTATTGGCCAATACCAGTGAAATTTCACAACATTTTTGTATTAATTTATATGGTATTGAATATACACTACTCTTCAAATGTTTTGGGGTCAGTCTTTGGAAGAAATCTCTCACCAGGGCTGCACTTATTTGATCAAAAATACTGTAAAATCAGTACTATTGTGAAATTCAAGAGTTTCTATTTTAATAATAAAATGTTAAAATGTAATTTATTCCTGTGATGGCAAAGCTGAATTTTCAGCATCATTACTCCAGTCTTCAGTGTCACAATTATTCTAATATGCTGATTTGCTGCTCATGAATATTCCACAGCAATAATTTATATGGTATTGAATATACACTACTCTTCAAATGTTTTGGGGTCAGTCTTTGGAAGAAATCTCTCACCAGGGCTGCACTTATTTGATCAAAAATACTGTAAAATCAGTACTATTGTGAAATTCAAGAGTTTCTATTTTCATAATAAAATGTTAAAATGTAATTTATTCCTGTGATGGCAAAGCTGAATTTTCAGCATCATTACTCCAGTCTTCAGTGTCACAATTATTCTAATATGCTGATTTGCTGCTCATGAATCATTTCCTATTATTATTAATATTGAAAACAGTCCTGGAACAGTGCTGCTTAGTATTTCTGTAGAATTACAATTCATTTTTCCAGGGTTCTTTTGAAAAAGGAAAGTTCAACTGAACAGCTTTTATTTAAAATAGAAACCTTTTATAACATTACAGAAGTCTTTACGGTCACTTTTGATCAATTTAATGTGTCCTTGCTGAATAAAAGTTTCCATTGTTTTTTATTAAATTGAACTGACCACAAACTTTTGAACAGCAGCATACTCCTTCATTTAAAAAAGCTAAATCAAACATAGTCTAATGTAAAATAAATTACTTAAAGTATTATTTTTGCAGAGCTTTAACTGTATGATTATTAGTTACAATACATTAATGTTGATTCAAAACTGTAAAAGTTTGACTGAACAGCAGGTCTGTTTTTAAAATAAGAATAAAAAAAGATCATATCAACTACAAAGCAGGTATAAGCTACATTTGAACGCATACTGTAAGCACTACAGCACAGTGATATTTTACACATAACCACCTGTTTATATTCTCTGTGTTTACAATAATACCTCTCCAAAGCATGTATATTTTAATCACGAAGTGCTTTGGACCGTTCATGCACGCAGCTACATCACCAGCTGTGATCTTCACAGAGTGTGAATGCAATAACACTGGAGAGCTTTCAAAAGCAGCCGCCTGTCAGACGGCACTTGAGTAGTGAATACTACTGATACTGCAGAAAGAATGATATCATGCATTTTAACATCTTGGTACCAAAGTACTGCTAATTTTGACCTCCCTTGCATTTGTGTGAGTAAATCTGGTATTACCGTGTGCAGGCTGGGTGTTGCGAGCAGGCTGGTGGTCCAGACTCTGTAGGTAGCTGTGACAGCGCTCACGATGCTCCTCCAGGGTGCTCTGCTGCTTGTAGCTGCGGCCACAGTAACTGCACTTGTAGGGCTTCCCTACTGTAGGGGAGGACACTGAAATAAGGAGGACAGAGAATATGAATGCATTTCACACAGCTTTGCAGGTGTTATGTAAACATGAATATTACTAATACAGTATTAATGTTGTGGCTAATATAAGATGTTACCCACTAAAATTGTTATTTTTCATAAACTGTCATATAAAAATGTTTTAAATATGTGTTAATATAATATAATAATATTTCCAATATGATTATTAAATCCGAATACTGTAATGACTGATACAGGATTTATCAGACCACAGAATTTCCCTTGTCACAATTTCCCCAAAAACTAAATGACACGCTGCTCATCTATGACGTTTGTAGAATAGGAAAACCTACAGACCGCATCTGTCCGTTCAGCTTTAGAGATGTGCGTCATTTCGGAGAAATTCATTACTAAAGTCATTTCTCTGAATATCTGCATTCTCATTCAAAGGACCTTAGGCACTACAGGTAAATGCTCTTCATCATTCAAAAACACAAGCAGGATATCCTGTTTTCATAATACTCTAAATGTCATACTAGACCGCTGAATTTTGTTGTCTTTGACTAAAACTTGATTATATAACCAATGGATGAGGTCTTATTTACATTTATTAGTCTGCTCGCACAATCTTTAGTAGAGGAACAGGTTTAAAAGGAAGTTTAGGAAAGTTCTAGGCAGCAAAATAATCACCACTTGCATTAAAGGAGAAACAGGTTAAAATGACCTTGACTACATTAATTTCAGCTCTGTGGCAAATCAAAAGGCTTTTTCCATCCCACACACTTTTCCATCCATTTATTTTCCAGCCACAAAGTTATCTTTCCTTCCTTCTCTTTATTTCTCGCAAACGGCCTCTCTCAAACCACAAAGGCTCACCGGAGTGGGTGCGGAGGTGTCCTGTCAGGGCATCACGGCGACGACAGGCGTAGTTACAAAAGGGACATTTGAAGGGCTTCTCGCCAGAGTGGAGCTTGATGTGACGCAGCAAGTTGCCCTTCTGAGTGAAGGAGGCCCCACACTGGTTACATTGGAATGGCCGCTCACCTACAGAGACCAAGACTACCAGTTTTCCCACCGGCCCAAAAAAACAGCAGCACATATCTTCAAGCTGACATTTTTAAAGAAGTTTGATCTTTTTTTGTCAAGAGTTAGTCAAGAAACACTTACCTGTATGGCTGCGCTTGTGCACCATTAGAACATTGGGTCCAATGCAAATCATCCCACATATGTCACATTTAAGTTTCCCATTGGGCAGCCGAATGGGACCTGGGGATGCGGGCTCAGAGCTGGCCATCTCCCCGCAGCCGCTCCCAGCCTGCCCTCGTGTACCTCCGACCATCTCCACACCACCATCTTCTGCCAACTCGCCCTTTTCATCTTTCCATCTTTCATCCTTCTCCCCAACTCTCCTTTCTGCCAGTGGAGCACCACCTGCCTCCTCGTCACTATACAGCTCCACCTTGATGGAGTTAGCTGGGAATGGAGAGAAAGCAGTGGCAGATGCTTTTATCCAAAGTAGAAATAATCAGCAGTCAGTGTGGCAGTAAATTAATGGCAAATTTAGAAATTATTCAAGAAAAGTAAAAGTGTGTTTAATGGACAGAAATACTGACCACTGAGTGAGCGGCTGGGTGAGGACTGTTGACTGTTTGGTGTGCTCACAGTGGGTCCTCTGAGCCCTGCAAAAAACTCGCGCTCTGTTGAAGAATCTCCACTACCTGAAAACATTGAACCAGTCATGTACAATGGGGTTCAAAATACTTCTTAGCATATATATATATTTTTTACATTTAAATCAAATGATCCACTATAAATTATATCAGTATGACAATCTGAGTGAAAAGTTTAATTGAGAAAAAAAAAGAAAAAAAAAATACTTTTTTTAATGTATTAGTATTATTTTATTATTAAAAATTGTTTAAAATAAAATGAAAATAAAAAAAATCCCAGATTTTAATGTGGACATGGACATTTGAAACCCACTATATTTAGCTACATTCATGTCTATGAGAAAAACAAAACAATAAGACCTAATAAAGACACCTTACCTGACATGTACGAACGGCCTTATATCAGTATGACAATCTGAGTGAAAAGTTTAATTGAGAAAAAAAAAGAAAAGAAAAAAAAAACTTTTTTTAATGTATTAGTATTATTTTATTATTAAAAATTGTTTAAAATAAAATGAAAATAAAAAAAATCCCAGATTTTAATGTGGACATGGACATTTGAAACCCACTATATTTAGCTACATTCATGTCTATGAGAAAAACAAAACAATAAGACCTAATAAAGACACCTTACCTGACATGTACGAACGGCCATTGCAATCGTCAGCATTCATCATCACACCAGCTGCCTGTCCCGAAAAATCATACAAAAAATATTTCTTGATAAGGCATAAAACTTACACATCTTACAAAAAACAACCTAAGTTTTTAAGAAACCTAAGTGCATGCATTGATACATTTTACAATGATACAATGCACACAAAGAACGCTAAAATGTTTATATTTGGCTCTTCTGATTTCAACTGAAAAAATAAATTGGTTCACTTGCAGTTTGTTATTTCTCCCTTTCCTGTGTGGTTGCACAGTTCGAGTAGCTGAATAATTTATATGCACACACTGGTCAAGGTCTCATTTCTAGCTCAACAGCTGAATTGAGTGTCCATTCTATAGAATTCTAGTCTTAAATGGAAAGCGTAGCGTGCAAGAAACTGCCCTCCCTTTAGCCTGTGACCTATCAGAACACAGGCTGACATCTAAAGCAATGATGATAATAAGGCAAATGCAGGGGTTGTTATGATTTGCCATTACTCAGAAATTTCCACATATTATCTGTCGGCTTTGGTACTGGAAACAAATGCAACACTTTTGGTAACAAAATTAAAGTTTTTGTTTATAAAATTAACTATTTGACACGTCTGCCGCCAAAAAAGACTGTATTTTAAGAAATGTCTATAAATAAAATTTGACCCCAAAATATTTCATATTGTCTAAACTTTAGACCCTCACACGTACTGTTCTTTATGATTGGAAATAGTTGAGCTAAAGACAACCTGCAGTACAAGCTCCCTTGGATGAAATATTTTATACTAAATAACAACACTAAAAACACTAAATAAAAATAAAATAAAAAAACACCATGGCACTTTCCTAAACATTTCTAGTGCGTGGCATAAGTGGGAACAAATGTATTTGTTGAAATGGACATGCAAAATAGACTCATATTGTCTGCTCCAGTCATAACATAGAATTATGAAACACAAACTAAAATAAGAGAAAACGATACACCATACATTTACTAATAGCAAAATAAATGCAAGGTGTTTTAAAAGCCAAATAAACACTAAAAGTGATTGAAATAAACATGAAAGTGACACTTTTGGCTCACACTGAGACGTGAACATTTCTTTTGACAAGCGGTGTATGAAAATTATTTAATTGAAAAAATATTTAGTTTTATATTTTCATTATAATACTCTTTGGGACCAGATAAAAACTCATTCTGAAGGACTTTGAATCTCTAGTATCACAACTGAATTATTTATGATTTTTTTTGTGTGGTTAATATGGGTCAAAACTGACCTAAGATCCATAGGAAGGACACATTTCAAACACATTCAGATATTATCAACAGCAGGTGTAGGCTCTAGACAGTTGCTATTAGACGACATTGCGTACTTTTTCATTCTTTTAAACCTAGAATAAATATGGACTCTTAAAGATTATCATCTTATATCCGCTTCATGGTGTAATATTTATAAATATTTAATAACATATGATCTAATAACAAACAGGCCTTCAGAAATGCAAGACCTCTTAGTGTCGTATAAGTCAGAAAACAGACACAGCTGCAACAGGCAGATCTCATGAATTCACAGTGCTGTCAATGAGTCTAAGTACCGCAATAATCGAAACAGCCCCTGTCTGTCAGCAATCACGCCATAAAACAATGCCTGACGACGAGCACTTGTATGTTTATTAACTTTTCATGCACCATCGTGCCGCAGAGGAGGACTGACAGCACGCCGAATCATGTCAATCCTGTCTGTCTAGAGCAACACTAGCTAGCAACCGCTGCTAGCCAGCTAACGAGACGTGACAGCTCACAATAAGGCAAAGACAGCGCTGAACTAACTCACAAACGAAAGAACTAGCGTTGCTGACAACGCAATCCAATCGACAGCCTCCGGTCGTGAAATACAGTCGATCTTTAGACGTGATAAACTAAAGCGGAATTATGTTTCCTGAGAGCCTGCTGGCGTTGCTATGGCACCCAGCACTCGACAGATGCGTCTAGCTGTGTAAACCCTCCCAATCCGAGCATAGTTACATGACCCAATGTCACTTTCCTTGAATAACCGGTATCGATTTTGCACGGTGAGTATTTTTCTTACCTGACGATCGACTGCAATTGCAATATTTATACAGCAGAAGCGCCGTTTGTTTTTTCTGGCGAAGGCAACATCTCCGGGATCTTTTACCTGAAACCCCAAACAACTTCCGGGCCCATGCCGGGATACAGGCCCGAATAACCTATAACCGAAAACCCCTGATTGGGAGGGATTATCGAATGCATCGATCCTCATGCTACAGGTTAGGAAATAAAAAGCTACGCAAAAGCTACAAACGCCACATATTATTATTATTATTATTATTATTATTTAATTTCGATGATAGTGTCAGTAAAAGTGACTTTTTGTTGAACGTATAATTAGAACAAATGACACAGTAATGATATTCTAATTATATTAACTTGCATATTGTTGTTAATATTTCTATGACACTGGCAATAAAAGAAACACTCAAAAACAGATGTGTTTACTATCATAAATGTAGACTACTTTTTTCATTTAAGCTCTTCGTGGGAGTTTTCTTGAAGGTAGCCTATAATTAGAACAAATTAGTATATTCTAAAAACATTACTAATTATATTCATGTGTATATTGTTGTTGTTGTTGTTGTTATTTGGATGACAGTGTCAGTACAAGTGACATTTAAAAAAGCAAATGTTTCCTAAGATTTATCTTGAATAATACTTCTTTCATTTAAACAACCCTGTGTTCCCTGTGACAAACAGGTCAAATTTGTCTGTTTGTGAGAATTTCTTTGAACGTATAATTAGAACAGATCGCACACAGTAATTACATTCAAAAAGCAGATGTTTTATCATAAAAATTCCTTAATTAAAGCAACACTTAATCATTTCCTTGTGTAAGGTAACAGGCCTAATATTTGTTTAGTTTTGGGGATTTTGTTGAACGTATAATTAGATAAAAATGATAGGCTACATTCACAATATTCTAAATTCTAAAACCATTAATAATTTCATTAGTGTGCATATTATTATTATCATTATTGTAGTTGTTGTTGTTGTAGGCCTGTCCTACAGTCCACATTTAAAATATGTTTTTATTGCAAACAATTCAGAGATGACATTAATGAAATACAACTTTGCATACATTACACATAATGTATCAACAATACATCCAATGTCATCTGAACATATGGAAGAGAAGAGAAGAAGAAAAAAAAGTTGACAATGAGTGTTAAAAGAGAAAGATGCATTTAAATAGCTTTTTTATGAACATAAAGAAAGGCAGGAACAGAAAAAATAAAGAAAAGAGGATTAAAAAAACAACAACAAAACAACAACACCAAAACAAGTATTAATCACGGTAACATATAGTTCCACATTAGTTTATTTATATACTTGGCTATGATGCGTACATTACAGAGTCATATAATACTCTGTTTTGATGTACAGAGTCATATTAATTTAGACTAGTAAATATATAGCAAATATACTTATATTTAGTATTTACTCATATCCTAGGTTCATCAACAATTATATCCCGTTCGGTCAAAAATCTCGGTGTAATCTTTGATTACTAGCTAACTTTCAAAGACCACACTGCAAAAACTGCTCGATCTTGCAGGTTTGCGTTGCACAACATCAGAAGGGTCAAGCCCTTCCTAACAGAGCATGCTGCACAACTTCTAGTCCAGGCCCTTGTCACTTCTGACAATGAAATAAATGACTACATTTCTTGGCTGAACTACTGCAATGCTCTTCTGACTGAACTTCCATCATGCGCAATCAAACCTCTTCAAATGATTCAGAATGCAGCAGCACGTCTGATCTTCAACAAGCCCAGAAGGGCCCATGTCACACCTCTCTTTATCTCCCTGCACTGGCTACCGGTTGCGGCTCGCATAAAGTTCAAGTCATTGATGCTTGCAAATAGAACAGCCACAGGCTCAGCACCCTCCTACTTCAACTCACTCTTACGAATCTACATCCATTCCAGAAGCCTAAGATCAACAATAATCTTTTATTTTAGTAATTATTATATACATTTTGTTGATTTGTGTGCTTTTTTTCCCCTACAAAAAATAGCTAATAATAATAATAATAGGCCGACCCCCTGCAGTGCCACTGCAGACCCCTTGGGGTCGCCAACTCCCTGTGGAAGACCGCTGTGTTACGGTGCGTTTCCACTGGAACGTAGCGAGCGTTTTCAATTCATTCCTATGGAAGTTGAGTTTAAACGCTCGCGCGGTGTATTATGGGATTGGAAGCGGCTGAGAGCGTCAAAAAGATTGGGCATTCCTCGCCTTTATGCAAATGTCGAGCGAAAAACGCTGTGAAAGGAAGAAGATGAAACGTAAACAGGGTGTTTTTCAGAGGCGTGCTCTGCCCTAAATTTGACACGCCCCAAAGCAGTGGCGTTGTAGCGTTGCCAGCGGCACTGAGCGCAGATTTGACGCTAACAATTCTTTTAATACTTAATGCTACCACAAGATGGCAGAGAATCCTAAATTGTCCTCCTCGAGGGAGCACTTCTCTAAATAAAAATGAGAAACCTTTTTTTATTTAGAAAGATTCACGTTTATTACATCAGATTTATCAAGATAAAAATATCCTGTTGTTCTCTCAAGTATGTGAAAATGAAATCTGTGTCTTTTAAACAGTATGTGACGTCTTCCTAAGAAGATCATTTTCTCCTTTTTGTCTTATGTCTGTTGAGTAGTATTTCATATGCCTCCTGGATCTGAATAAACATCTGCTGTGCCTCTGCTTGCCGCTTGGGGTTGTGATCTGGATGCCACACTTTAGCCAGTTCCCTATAGCTGCGAGTGACCTCCTCCAGAGAAGCTTCTTCTGACAGTGATAGTATCTGATTGTAAGAAAATATTAAAATGACCAAAAAAAAAGAAGCCATTATTTACCTTCTGATATGTAAAAACACTGCAAAGTGAAAACTATAAATATTATATACACTGTTGACCGCTTGAAACTGTACTGAACTCACCTTCAGAGCCTCCATTTCTTTTTTACTATTCTCATTAAGAATTATTTCTAGCATCTTCCTCCAGGTTTCCTCGTAGAAACCCCCTCCTGTCAGGATACATAGCAGACGATACGGCAACAGCAAAAAATACTCTAGGAGTCCTTTGAGCCACGGAATGAACCAGAAGAAATCAAGCAGGGCCGCTATACAGTCCGATATGTAGTATAATGTGGCAGTGGTGTTGTGGAAAACACAGTATCCCAGAGGAGCAGAGAAAGCCAGCACACCTAAACTCAGACGATACAGACGGGGCCCTTGGGAAGATTAACACAAACTGGTTTAATTAAACAGTCTTGCACTGCACATGATGTAACCCAAAGGTAAGACTTTCCCTAGATTACAAAAGTATATGTTCTAAGAATTCACAATATGTTTTGAAAACCTTATTTGTGTTCAAATATGAACATACAATTTTATTATTTTGCAAACATTTTGGAAATGTTACCTTAGAAATTTCTCTGAGCGTTCTTTTAACATTATTTTAACGTTCAGACATTTACAAAATGTTAGAGAAACGTCCAACTAAAACGTTTTAAACAATAAATGAACAATGTATAAATGAATGATGTATTTGTGCTAACAATTTGAGAACATTACTCACGACCAGATAACTTTAAACGAATGCTCTATTAACATAGTAGAAGAATGTTTGTTAATTGTACTTTGAGAGAACCTTTCCAAAATGTTCTGAGAACGTTCCCTGTTACCTGCGTTCCCATTAGGTCCAGTTTTTTTAAATGTTTAAAAAAAAATGTTTTATTGGTTATGTGAATGTTGAGGGAACATTCCATTTAATCATTTTGCAAACATTATGGGACTATTACTTTTGAATGTTTTTTGGACGATCTGAAAAAAGGATTAGCATTGAAAAATGTTAGACAAATAACCAAATAAAATGTTTGGAGAAAAAAAACATTCCATGAATTATGTATAAATAACGTTTTGTGCTAACATTTTGAGAACCAAATAGAGACCAAATAACTTTGAATGAACATTCTATTAACTTTAGTGCAAGAACGTTTCAGAGAATCTTGCCAAAGTGTTAGTCAAAGTTCTTGGAACATTCATTATGGATTGACATGCATAAAATGTGCATATGTAAAGTGCATCTCACCAAGTGGCTCTGGCCTCAGAGGTTTGAACGTGCTGTGTTGCGCAGCGGTAACACTGCCAGCTATGCTGATGGGCAGAGGAGAGAGGTTGCTGCCGTAGAAGATGGATGATGTGATGATGCACAATATGAGGGTTTTCTGAAGGTCAGAGGTCTGCTGGCCCACAGAGGACACCAGATGAATACCTGCAGCTACGCTCAGTGGCAGCACTAGGAAGTAGAAGAAGCTAAAAGAACTGAGGCTTATTAAAGCCACAGAGCCGAAGTAAATACCAACACAAATCTGACCGGTGAACCGAATCAGACCTACAGGTGGTGGTGGAGTGGCTTGTGGACGTCTAACAGGGGCTCTCTCTGCTGCATGGTTGGCCTCGCTCACGTACGATGGGATACGGAAGAACTCTCTTGCCCAGCCAATGCCAAAACCTCCAAAAGTTAGTATCCAAAGAAGAGCATGGCTGTCTCTGCCCAGGTAAATGTGATGAAGTCCAAGTGGGCCACCCATTGCCCACAAGGCATATGTGATCATGACATTTTTAGCCATAAGGTCATTCTAGCTGCACACAGGAGCTTGGAAAAAGTGAATAATTGTCAAGTTTAGCCAATAACATGATTATGAAAAGTGCTTAGTAATAAAGTTTAAGAACATGCATTTTATTTGAATCTCATTCAGTTTTTAAAGGAATAGTTCACCCAAAGAGGAAAATTTCGCCTGCTTCTCATGTAAATCTATCATAAAAGACTATATAGCATGGAATATATATGGAATATTGTTTTATTTATTTCTTTTATGGTGCTTTTTTCCTTTTGGAGTTTGATAGCATTGGTCTGCATTTACTGTATGAACAGGAAAAGCACATTTTGGTATATATTTTCTCTTTTGGTGTTCCCCAGAAGAAATAAAGCCATACAGGTTTGGAATAACATGAAGGTGAATAAAATCATACAGCTCACTGTTCTCTTACCTGCGGGAACTGAGAGATCAAGCTTCATTCATATACCAGATTGTTTTAGAAGACTCCTATAACATGGTCAGC